CGAATTTCGTCAATGCCAATAAAATGCCAAATAATCATACTTAACTCGTTAAATACTCAAGTTAGAAGAAAAATACATAGAATCTTTCTTGTAGAGGACATCAGTGCCTACAATTTCTGTATAATAAACTTTTCGCTATCGTCAATAATTAATTGGATATTTCCTTCTATACTTTTTAGCACGTAGCTATTTATTATTAGCATTGTTCTTTCGACGTCTGATTTCGTTTTAATTATAGGAAATGTGTTCAGGAAATGTGTTAAAAGAGTATTCGTTGTCTGTACAGGTGTTTTGATATCGTTTATTTATAAATGTTACATCTTCGAAAATATAATATCATGCATTAGTGTCCGCATTTAAAATAGAATCGAAGGCTTTTGACAGAGATAAAAATTTACGTTGTATAAAAAAAGAAATATTTAAACATTAAAGGAATTATAAGTAAAATTAATTGAAGATATAGTTATTACTATTAGCCTAATTTTTTTCAGATATGCATTATGTGTCATTTAACTTACGACGACGTTTCAATGTTACTGGACTCGCCGGATCAGTCAATGGTCGTTTTTTGACTTTTGGTAAAGTCATTTTGTATTTGGGCATCGGTTGAGCTTTAAAAACGGTTTGTTTTCGCAGTCGCGCAATAGCGTCCTCCTCTTGCCTTATTTTCATGGCCTTTTCCATTTCTCTAGTTTGTTCCCTTTGTCGTTCTCTTTCTTGGAGACCTTTATCGAATTGTTTTCTTTGTAGCGCTCGAACTGCCGTATGCAAAACGGGTGGTTTCGGACATCCTATATTTTTCTTAGGTGAGCACGGTACAAAGGGCGGCTTCTTCCAAAGCTGAACATCACAAACAAACAAATTTATCTTATTTGTTAATCAGTTTAATTGAAAAAATAACTTGGCTTTTATGGAAATTCTATTAATTGAATTACCTCAGTTGTTTTCTTAGTCGTTTTGTCTGACTTATTACTTTTCTCAGTTCGATTGTTAATCACCTGTTTATTATTATCATTGTTTTCTTTATTGGCGATCCGAGACTTCAAATATTTTGGAAGAGGGTTCGCACGAAAGACCCTGAAATCTTTCTCGTTTTCTGGAACCTAAGTAGGCGAAGTAAAAACGAATTGCATCAGCCTTCAATAACATACAAGAATAAGATACGAATGTCCATACCGTTTTTAGTATTTGTCGTTTCACCTCTTTCTTATGTTTGTCCCTTAAATCAAAAGTAAATGGATATACCACAGCAGTTTGCGATTTCTTTATTTTATCCCATATTTGAGGCTTGGCTTCAGGATTCTAAAACGATTATCTAAATTTTTAACGAATCAATTATTCAAAAAAGGTAAATCAATTAACATTGCGTACCACTTGCATATCCAGAGGTTCGTGTTGTTCTTTAATATTTTCCTGGCGGTCCTTATTGTTCCCATATGCTGACACAGATGACTCACGATTTACAGGAGACAAAGCAAGTGTGCTAAAAGATTTGTACAAAAATTGAACAATTTTTCTTGCCTGATGGTAAGAGAATTTTCAATCGGATTTGAAATAATTTTAATTCTTACTCATTTAGTTTTTCTGTCGTTATAATATTGGGAAGTGGAGTGGACACTGTTGGGCCTGATTTACCTGAGAACAGTCAAATTAGTAAGCAATTTTATTGTCTTAAATAAGTTTGCTAATATAAAAAGGTTGAATTGCCACTGTATCATTTAGACTATTTAGAGCATTCGAACTTACTAACAAATGTTGGTTCTCTGTCTAACGAATTGTTAAACTCAACGACCTGCGGGGATTTAACTATATCCGAAATATTTTTCTGGCGATCTTTCTTGGTCTCACATGCTGTCATGGGTGACTCACGGTTGACACTAGACTCAGACAAAGCAAATTTGCTAAAAGATCTGTACAAAATGGAACAATTTTTTTTGTTTGATGGAAACAGAAGTTTCATTCGGATATGAAATAATTTTAATTCTTACTCGATCAACGTATTGTCAGTTTCATTTAGTTCTGCTGCCTTTATAATACCGGGAATTGGAGTGGTCACTATTGGGCCCGATTTATCTGAAAACAATCAAATTAGTAATGAATTTTATTATTAAGTTCACTAGTATAAAAAAGTTCAATTGTCGCTGTATAATTTAGAGCATTCTTACTAAAAAATGAGTCTCCTCTATCTGATGCATTAGTAAAATCAACGAACTGGGGAGATGCAATCATATCCCACTTATTAGCATCTCTATATTTCATCCAATTTTCGTCAAGAGTATCCATTTTCATATTCTTTTTGTTCCACAACTTACGTGATGGTACTTTTAAACTATCCTTCATATCTTGCACTGATGTTAGTTGCGAATTTTCTTTATTCGATGCCATCATGTAAGCGTAGCACTTTAAATGATACGTAACAACTTTCGCATTAGCGATTATTTCGCAATCGTAATTATTTTTATTTACGTACGAGAAGGGCAAACTGAATTTGAATTTAAAGGAAGTTGATGAAACACGTGAGAATAACAATGATTTGAATACAGTTACGTTACTTCACAAAACGTACGTGTTATTATATACATAATAAATATAATTTCATAATTTTTTGTATTTAGCGCTTTATACAAAAATTATATTTCATTTATTATAATTCGATTTCAGCGTAACAAGTACGTTGCGCGCGATCATATTGATGTTTTGCCCACGCGAATATTTCTATGGATACAAACGTTCACAACAAAGCACAAAGTGTTCACACTGTTCATTTTTTAACAAATTTTTCGATCCGACCCTTCGATATGATCAGTTTCTTCCTTGACCAGAAATCACAATTGATTCAGTGGCCGTGTAAATGTACTCGAGGCAAGAAACTCTTTAGAATACTTAATTTAATTGTTGTAACATGACAATCCATTGTGTAGCACTATAATACAGTGCATATAAAAAGCCTTTAAGCAAGTTTATACTTTAAACATAAGAAAAAAAACGTCAGATATGCACGGCTTACGGTAAGGAAAATGTGTTGCAATGCATTACGCGAAAATTACTTTAACAGAACGCTAATTGGACGAAGTTGGAAAAGGAAGCAATATCTTTTCATTATTTTACACAATTCTTAGAGCCGATCACAATATCAATGGTCTCGGAACGAGTCGATGGCTGGAAGCGCTTTGGGAACCGGCAGCTCGATTATACACGCTACCGAATGCGCTTGATATGCTCGATGTAACCGGTGACGGGGATGCTAGGCTCCTCTGCGCCGATTTGGGAACGCTAGATGCTAATTCAGCTAAAGTAATGCGATATTTATATATTTTTAACAGTTGAAGAAATCCAGAGTGCTTCTTCAACATGTTTGTTAAAATCGTTTTAACGATCAGCTTATTATTGTTAGATACGGGTTTATAAAGGAGCTGATCAGGTAACAGAACACAATATGGTAGATTTACCTTGTGGATTAGTCGGCTTTTACACGGAGAATGGAGTACCACGATCATCTGTACTTGGAGTCGGCGCCGGTTCCAGCGTATACATTTTTAAAAATATGAGACCTTACTTTAAGTATTCCTTGCCGCATATTGACGTGCACCCGAAAGAGCGAGAGGTACAAAAAATGACCTTCCTCTTAACGATGCATATTCCTTCGATTTACACATTTCGAGATCTTTACAGATTTGGCACAAGGCTGGACTGGACGACGAACTAAACGTACTCACGTTAGCCGATGAACTAAATCTTTTGCTAACTGAACTTGGAGCGGGATTCATTTCGCCACGTACATTAAAATTCCTGTCTTTAGATCCGAATTTGAGACCCAGCTTCGCGGAACAATATAAAAGAATTCCACTGATTAAAAGCAATGCATTGACAGCGATATCAGTAATTAGAAGAGACTCATGGAACGATCCTGCGAGCGGTTGCCTCGTTCTTGGGACAGAATTTGGCGAAGTACTTGTTCTAGATTCTCGGTACAATTTTCGACTGCTTCACTTAAGAATTACGAACTTTCGCGATATATTAAGTGTTTAGTTTGCGACAGGATATTTTCCGTAATGGATAAACACTTGTTGGAGTGGCCACCAGTTGCGTTTGCATGCACAGGTTTGTGGACCGGCGATGGAAGAATATTAATTATTGGGAGGGATGGTAAACTAGGCGCGATAAAAAGAGGAAGTCCTGTGAGACTTTGGGAAAAACTACCGTCACCAGCAATAGCTATTTCAGCTCTTAACAACGGTGGCTTCGCGGTATCCGTTATGGATGGCTCTTTAATTGGTTTTTCCAAGAAGGTATAATATTGTCATTTTAGTGTTTTATGCTGAGTGTAGGAAAATATACATTAATTGTATAGGGGATCAAACTTTGGAACGTTCTTGTCCCCGGCGCAATTTTGGATTCCGTGAGCCTTCCGGTACCACAAATTGGTTTATCATTACTCGCAGTCAGTACTGCCGGATTCGGGATTCGCGTGTACGACGGAAAGCATCATGTGGATACATTGAAGATTATGGAACCGGTGTCTGCGATGAAGGTAAATGATTTATAGAAAATCTAGATATTGACGATATATTCTGTCTTTCAATACAGTACGGTAAAATGGGGCAAGAAGAACGAACGATGGCGATGGTCACCGTGGGTGGCGGGCTTTGCGTAAAAATCTTGAAACGCACTGCAAATTTTAATGTTAACAACACAACGTCGAATTTAGTGTTGAACGACAGCTCTAAATTTTCTGTACCAAAGAAAACGCGGCTGTTCGTCGAACAAACGATAAGAGAGAGATCTGAAGCCAAAAAGATCCATACAACTTTCCAGCAAGGCCTTCTTCGTTTACAGCTACTGGTGGCTAAAAGAGTGGCCGATTCCTTGAACGACAGTCAAGACGTGGCGCCAAATCTGCTCACTATGGAAGCCACGGTTCTAGGATTGGGTCCCAATTACCAAATTCGCGTTTTATTAACGAACATATCCGACGAATTATCTGATACGGATATGTACATTGTTTGCAGAAGCGAGAACACGGAAGTGAAGCCACGTGTAATGGACGTGCCCTTGTTACCGAGCGGCATCCCGATTCCTTTGCTCGTTCATGCGATTTACAGGGGTAGAATATCGGGGAGGGTGGAGATTTTGTTGTGCAAGAAATCAAAAACGAAACCAATAAATGTAACAGCAGTGACGTTGCCTGCCGCCGAGGAAGATATCGAAGTCTAGTCTGTTGCAACATAGAAATCAGTGGAAAAGTATTTTTTATATACGTAACTTATTTTTCAATGGTGTTCATATATTACATGGTTGTGCAAATATCAAATTTTGTAATTGTATTAAAAGATGTGCTATTATCTTTGTCTCCTTCTTGCGAGAATAAGGTATTGATGGGAAAAGCGTTACGAATTTCTATCAATGACACTGAATTTTTTATTGAAAATCAGCTGATGGAGGAAGTCAAGACAAAAAGAATCATTTTTAATTCATTGTGATATCTCCATCCGTTCAGGAGATACAGGCTTCTAAAGTTTAGGCGTGTCGTTTAATTACTGACACAGTGACCTAGGCAGGACCACAATCATGATTAGTGAAACATCGATGTGTGTCAGAAA